CCAAAAAAGGTTTTGCCCTCTGACAGCCTGGCTACATACAGAGCAGAGAGGTTCTTCTGTATGTCACTGAGAAAACGGAGCTCTGAGTGGCATCTCCAGACTGTTCCTCTCCAACTTGGATGAAGCTTTAGTATTTTATTTTTTCTCGTTACGTTTTTCAAGCCAGCGGGAAATTCAACATTTTCATTATTTCCACAAGCTTCGTGTGCAATTACTGTGCAGACTCTTTGAATCCATAAGATCAAATCAAAGCTATTGCTTTTAACCACCCAAGATAGAAGGACATTGATTGTGATGCATTATTTGTAAATTGCCTGTTAAAGTTTAAAAAGATTTCCACATACTTTGAATAATTCCTAAAATATCTGTTATTGAATTTCCTTAAAGACTGCACTAGCTGGGATTGCTTCAGCTGCAAATAAGGGTTGCCAGAGTGTTTTTTCTCTTTTGGTCTCTGATCTATGCAATTTTAGCATCTCTTCCAGAAGTGAGCCAGAGAAAAACACCCAGTGAGCTGTTAGGGCTTGTTTGCCATGTGTTTAGCCTAGCAATCAATTGATACCTTTTGCAGTCTTCTGTGTTTTACTGAATACCTCCCTGCTTAGTGGTTAAGCAAGCTACACTGTTTTGACATATTTTTTGAACTATTCAAATCCTTCATTCTGCAGTGTATGCTCCACACTTTAATCTATGAAATAGGTGTGGCTGCTTCTTTTCTGTATACAAACATTTGCATTAAGATTGAGTCTGCTGTTGAAGAAGTGTTGATGTAATAGGCAGAATGATGAGTGTTTGCTACCTAAGATTTCCTGCAGAGGTAAACAGTAGGTTTGTGGTGGGCTGGAAATGGAGAAATAGTCCTCAAAGGATCCCAGCCTCACCTGTGCCTAGAAACTGAGGGACATGGTTAGTGGGCATGGGTAATGGGTTGGTGGTTGGACTTAATGACCTTGGTGGTCTTTTCCAATCTTAATGAATGTATGGTTCTGTGAATGGAATCGTAACCCAGTGCAGGATCTTGCAAGGAGAAAGCTTGAAACATGTCATAAGCAAATAAGCAAACCTGAAGAAAGAAAAGAATGTATCCTATTCCCATCAATGTCAGCAGCTCTGTTTCTCCAACAGAATGATCCAAGTGAGCATTGAAAGAACCTGCAATGTAAAATGGTGTCAGAAAGGAGTGGCTGCTAATTCGGTCTGCGAGTTGCACAGGCAGTTAAATGAGAGACTGTGGTTCAGTGCAGTGCCACAGGATGCCTTGAACATGAGCTATAGCTCTGCTAACTCTTCAGCAGTGAAGTTCATAGATGGCCATTGTAAGGAGATTAAAGTTTCAACAACCAAATCCAAGTATGAAGAGCATGTTAATCCCAGCACCTGGACTGGGAGCAGTGCTTAAGAGAGGGGCAGGGAAACCTTAGCATAGTATTTGTGATAGAAGTGAAGAGCAAATGACAGAAAAATATTTCTCAGTACATCAGATAGCATGCAGGCAGAGAAATATGTGGGATTGTTGTGTGATCTGAAATACTAGATTTATTTCATCAAAAATATGCTTTCCTGAAGAACTGAGTGGAACTGCTTTTAGACGTACTGATAGACAAACAGAAGAAGATTCTTTTTTCTATTTTTATAAACTCAAAAGAGCATTGCATCCAGTTTTCGGTTCATTTCAGTTTTCTTTGCATCATGTCCAAGAGTAACACATGTGTAATTTCTTTGATATTATTTATCTAGAAAGGTTCTGACCTGGATTATTGCCCACTGTACTTCAGAAATGTGGTGTATCTTGTATATGTGGTATATATTTGTAGTGTTATTATTACAGTCATGGCTATTTATTGCATGCTCTTATTCTAACTTTAGGTCTGCAAAGTCTCTGATTTCAGCACACATACCAAGCACACCCCAGAAAGTCAGAATGTGGTTTTTGTTGGTCCTTTACAGGCACTGGGGGCCATGGGGTAGTGAGCATGGTGGTGCTGTGTTGACAGTTGGACTAGATGGTGTCAGCAGTCTTTTCCCACCTTCAGGATTTTATGATTCTACGATGCCTTATTGATATATATTTTTATTTGCTGAAGTGCACCAGAATGCTTAACTTCATGTCACAATAACATGAAATGCTAAGAGAATTGAAAGATTTCCCCTTTTCAGTTATGATTTCTAGCTACTTTAAGACTGAATTAATGCTTTAGTCTATTAATTTCTGTGTGTGTGATTGAAGGAAGCTGGCATCGTTGCTAAACTTGCAATGGGAAAATTTTCAATAGTTCAGTATGTAAAATATGTCATGTTGTTACCTTTGTAAACAGAAGATGATGGACACTAAATCTCCAGAATTTTCAGCAAAAGGAAATGTTTTTTGTTTTTCTTTTTCATCTATTTTCATTTCTTAATGGAAGAAGAATTATGGAAATGAGAGCAGGCATTGCATTAAATACTTGAAATGGTCCTTCTCTGCAGACCAATAAAAATATAACTCTTCCAGTAGAGAAATTCTGTTTTTTCAAAAGCTGCATGAATCTGAAGCAGTGAATGAGATGACTGTGCTGGGATGAACATTTCAGGTTCTGGTTATGTATTTTAAGTCTTCATTAGATGGATACCAGCTCTTAGCTCATCTTGTAAGCCTTCTTTGGGGCAGCCTTTTTTCTGCTACACTTGGCTTGTATAGTAGTGCTTCTGTAGTGAATCTCTTGTTATGCAGATCAGTAGCAGAGTTTTAAAGTCAACCAGTCCTGGGGTTTGAATGATTTTTTCTACCTTAATTTGGCCTAGGAGGTTTCCTGGCCTTTTCAAAACACTTTATCTACTTGCTTAACTCCATAAAAAAGTCAAATGGTGCAAGTCAAAGACGTGACCTTTCTGTGCTACAGAAGTGTTCATAGTGATTACAGTCCCATCTGTGACTCCAGATTATGTATGTTGTAGCTATTTGTCTTTAAAATATCTTTCATCTACACATGCAAAATGAAAACGTAGCGGTAAACTGCTGTTTCTAGTGGTGTTCAAATGAGGTTCAGTGGTCAGGGCTGCAGAGAATTAATGTCAGAGGAAGCGGGTCTTCAAGTGAAGCCATCTTTTTTACTCTGCCATTAACCATATAATAGTCGTCAACATTAATTCCCAGGTGCTTGGTTAGAAGAACCCAAAGTGAATTAAAAAAAGAGCAAAATCTTTAGCAATCATTGCTAGCTGTATTTGTCCCTGCTCATTGCAGGGGCGTTGGACCAGATGATCTTGATGAAATTGTCATGAATATTTGTGCACGTGTAGCATTCGTTGGGGTGAGTTTTATAGTTTTATTTTCACTGCTGCAGGGAACTCTTTGCCTCTGCAGAGCAACTGACGCTCTGGTGCATGATTCCAAAGAGTTCATCCCTGTGCTCCTGTTAAGCTTTATATGCAAACAGCCTAATTCTTTTGCCGTGATCCAGAAAACATCTATACAAATATTAATTATATTCCTTATAAATTTGAGAACATGCCTGACCTACACATGCTGTCCTGAATGTTCATTCCTAATGGAAAGATTCTGAAACATTGGGAAGAAAGCGCAGTGTAAGAAGTGCACAGGCACAGAATTTTCATTTCCTTGCTGTTTTTCTTGCTGCTGCACCCCCTCTACTAATCCTCTGGCTTAGCTGATTAATGAGTTTATTCAGCTGCCTGCTTTAGACATTACCAAGAACTGCTGGCAGTGAATTTCTACCTCACACATTAGACTTGTGGCTGATTTAGGTTGGACTCACCCCATGTTAGTGCCCTAGGTGGCTAATAGCCCTTGAAAATCCAGCCATGAGGACTGGGGCTGCCTGGAGGAAACACAGATTCCCAGGTGTCTTGGATGTGTTTGCACACAGAAGGAGCCAGATGGTTTTCACTGTGGGTTTCCTCTGGCTTCGTTCTGTGGGAGAAATACCTGAGTCGGATGGTGCCAGGTAGCTGCATGACTCCAGTGTGTTAACAGCTGCTCTAGATCCTTTCCCAGAGGTGCATTTAAAGCATAAATGTGAAAAATAGGCAGAAATTGGTGCGGTCAAGTGAGGAGTCAAGTGAGGGATAGGCTTCATGTCTGGTTGCATTTAGTGGGCACGGAGGGGATGAGTTGATGGTTGATTTGATGATCTTAGATCTCTTCCAGCCTTAATGTTTCTATGATTCTATCTCCAGACCTGACGGGATGGGTCTGGTCTGAAGCATCCCAGTCTCCATGGTCGTGGTTCTGGATGCTGGATGGCTCATAAATGCTCTGGGACCAAAAGCACTTAGTGCATGTTAGCAAGGTTTTTGTCATTCACAGCTCCCTGGGCACAAAAACACATGTCCATGCATGTACATAGTGTTGGAGTCATCTGAGGCTATGTGCAGTATTGCAGGTTTGACTCTGAAATGCACTGCTGTAACCAGCCTCCCAAAATACCACAAACTTCAGGTCAGATCTAGCATCACCTGCACATCTTAAGATAGAAAGCTGGGTGGCACATACTGGCAATAAAGCTGACTATTCCTAAAACATGGGTAGTCTTTGGGATGTTTTCTGAGCCAAACAGAGGTGTGGGCTGTGGCTTTATCTTGGACAATAAACATGGAGAAGCAGGGAGATTTGGTGCTTAGGGACATGAATTAGTGAGCAGTATTGGTGGGTAGACAGTTGGACTAGAGGATCTTAGAGGTCTTTTACGACCTTAATGATTCCATGATTTCATGATCAGGAACTAACACAAATATAAGGAGTCTCAGAAAACTCCCCTTGCACCAGTATGCTTGTGTGCAGTGTGGAAAGCAGTGGGAAAGGAAATTTGCCTGTTTCTGGGCACCTTTGGCTGCCACATTCGGTTAAGCTCATTTCTATTCTGAGTTACATCAGTACTGTGCAATGATGAGACAGGCACAGATCAACATAAGGGCAAAAGCAGCTGAACCTGCACCTTACCCCGTCCCTAGCCATGCAGCTGTCCCCATCTCACATACTTGCTCTTGTGGTCTCGTTCCAGGGCAACCCACTATACTTCCAGTCTGCCAGAAATGTTACAGTGAACATCCTCAATGAGAAGACAAAAGTCCTCACTCGCCTAGTAACAGGTAAGGAGGGGGAAAGGCTGCATGGAGTTGTTACAGAGAGATGAAAGCAGGTGTGTTGTGGGATGCTGCACTGGCTTCACACAGCTCGCCAGAGGGGAGCCCAGGTGTCTTAGTTAAGAACAAATGGAAACTTTGCTCTGCTTTGTAGAAACAAAGGTAGAGACATGAAAGCAGTGCTGGAGACAGGCAGCTGGCTGGTGCTGTCTGATAACGAAGCAGACCATCGTTTTCATTTGAAAGCCAATCCAGAGACAGAAAGGTTAGCTGTACAACTCTGGGGTCAAGAAGAACATATGCAGGCTGACATCTCTGTCCTGGCAGGCGCAGGATTTTCCTGAGACTCTTTTAGCTTACCTAAGATCTTGGGAACGCTGCTGATTGACTGTGGCTGGTTTTGTACCCTGGGCAATTTATTGCTTTTTATGCCTCTTTCAGATGAAGAACACTGATTCTCCCAAACATTAGTGTGTTTGATGGATAAATGGGTGTTTCATAAGTCCCCAGTGCACAGCAGCCTTTGAATAGATACATGTGTAGTTTGGGTTAAAAGAGTTTGAAATACTAATATGTATATATGATATAAGACAGATATTTATTTATTGAGATTTATATAGGGACTGGGAGAAGTATTGCTGCATGGCAGAGCCAGTAATCCATAAACATGCTGTTTCTGCATGAGGCTGAGTTGTTTGGTTTGCTTAAATAACAGTTTGGCTTCTAGTCACAGTATTAAATAATTAAATATGCCACTTCAGAAAGCAGTGGTTTATGTGTCATGCATGAAAAATGCCTGGAGGAAGGGAATAAACTCAACCCCAAACTCACAGATTCTCACGTTCAGAACTTGTTTAGTTTGTTGGTTCTGCATATACTTACAAGAGGGAATGTGGTTCCCTAAGCACCTCCTTTTCAGGAGAATTTGGAAGGACACAGTCAGTGTGATGTCCCTGTTGTGATGTCCTGCACTGAGAGCATTTCTACACTTGGAACAGCTTTGGTTCACAAGTGGAGGGAAAATGTGGTCCCACATAGCATGTGTTGCATTGATGAATATGGAGGCAGTTAATTAGTGAGATATAAATCAAATTTAAAACTCAAAAGTATTTTATTTTCTCAGGATGGCTGCAGGTTCTTCAAGTGTTTCTGCAGACTCAGATATACAAGGGTCTCACTTTTCTGTAGTCCAGACGCTGCATATGAGTCTGTGTGCTGTGATGCTAACACAGGCAAACACTGGGTACAGGTGGGGGTTAGAAACTGCCTTTAAGAAAGTACTCACTTTGGAGAAATGAGACTCATCAGGAAGGTGGCAGGACTAAAGCTAAGTGCTGTCACTTTCTTGCATAGTAGCACGTTGCAGGGAGGCTGGGATTTGTTCTGGGCTGTGTGCAGCCATAAGATGGCAATTTGTGTGAAGCTTAGCTGAGGTCAGGTAACAGAGGGTCTGCTCTTTGTAGTGTTTGAGCTACAGATCTGCACAGAATTGCTGTTTGGGCAGCTGATGTTTATCAGGTTCCACAACAGCACACTTTGCCTAGAGGCTCTCAGCACTGCACCGTGCAGCAGCCTGCAGGAGAAGCAGTGAAATTAAAATAAGAGCTCAGAGGGAAAGTTTTGCTCGTCTAAAAACTTTCTGAGATGTGGGAGACCATGCTGTTCGTTCAGCCTTCACATGGCTCAGTTCCATTCCCTTCGTGGCTCATTCTTCTGCAGGGCCAGGAGGGCAATGGTCCCAGGGTGGATCATACTGGGGGGGTGGGACCAAGCTTAAACTGCAGCTTTAAAGCAAAGCACTCTTATAGTTTTGCTTCTGGCTGTTGTTTCTTTGTGTTTTGTGTTATGCTTGGTTTTTTTCATTGGACTATGAATGACAGCAGTATGATATTTAGCAGGCACAAAAGTGAGAATCTCTTACAGTGCAGCACCGATCCAAGAGAGGTGAACCACTACTCTCCAAGTGTAGCTGGGTGCAATCACTGTTATTTGTGGTTCTGTCTTTTGGTAGAAATTTCTCAACTATGCCAAGCTTAATGGCAATTTAAGGCATACATAAGCATTAAACAACATCGTAAGTAGAAATAGTTGAAGGTTATTTGGGTGCCCTTTCCTATGGAGCGGTCACCCTCTGTAAAGCACAGGCATTGCTTCTTGTTGTATTGGATGCAGGTTGTGTCTGCAGAGCTATTAGAGTCATCTCAGCAAATGGGGTTATTAAGTGTATGGAGACTGCTACTTGGTTTTCTTCCACTTTCACTCAAAGCTTATACTAAGTCTCTTCTCTCTAGGTCCCCAAGCAGTGGAAGCACACAGCCAAAAATTTGAGGTGAAAACCCTCTCTGGAAAATTGCTGTTTTCTGCAGATGACAACGAAGTGGTAGTTGGAGCAGAGAGATTGAGAGTTTTAGGTAAGAGATTACTCACTAAATCACTTTTTTAATATATACCTCTTCAAATTTTGGAACCGTTTTGCCTGACTTTCCTTCACGTTTGTGGAAGGCTTCTATTGGATACAAGCTGTTCACTGTCTTTATTGCTTTAAATCTTTCCCGGACACATTAGGGCCAGAAGTTTCTATCTGAGGAGTTTCTTAACTTGCACAACATATAGACCAGCTTTGGAAAGTAGATGACTTTATCTCTTGGGCCTGGGACAGTGTGGGTTCACTGTACCAATGCTTCCATGGCTGCAACCAGTATCTCTGTGAAGAGGGAATGTTTTGTATTTTTAATCTCCCGCTCATCAGCAGCTTCTCCTTCATCCTAAAGCAAACAGTAAGGAGGAGACCTGCGGCAGAAAAGTCAATATGAGTTAAGATCCTGTATGCATTATCTGAATACTTTTCTGCCCTTCGTATTGCTTAAGCTTTTCTTACCCAGATGTGAGTCCATGTTGTTCATCTCTGAGCCACCTCCAGCTATGCTCAGGGATATGCTTAAATGTCTCCTGCATGGGAGGAGAAACCTGTGTTATCAGTGCTACAGCCTCCTTACTTCTCTAGTAAGTTCCTGAAAACAGAAGGATCAATGAAGGAGATTAGAATGATATATAGTGTTTTTAATTATTGTTATTTACTCCGTATTAGATGGTGTATTGTTAGTTAATCAGAGAATCACTTGAGTTGGGATGGCCCTTTGAGGTTCATCTAGTCCAATTCCCCTGTACTGAACCCTATGTATACAGAAAGGAGCTTAAAATGAGGGCTGCAGAGTCTGGGTATCATGAATAAAATGTCATATCCAACCCTTATTTTTTTCACTGGTTGGTGTTGTGCTGTTCCAGATGGTTTCCTGTTTCTAGAAAGGGCAGCTGTAGCCCTTTCAAATTCCAAGTCACTGTTGGTACACAGTGGGCTGGTTTAGTCATCAGGTATACCTGAATTAGCTGAGCTTCATGGGATAAAGGTTGAAAAAATTTGCAGCATCTTTTTCAGTAGAAAACTTTGAAAAAGATCATTCCATATTCATGTGGTGTTGTTTCAGAGCTGGGGAGTGTTTGTCACAATGCACGTGTACCACAAATCCCCTTCACACGGCGCCCTGCTGAACTCCCAAATCATGCAGTCTTTGTGCAGGGCAGATGAATTCAGAGCAATGATCTTAAATGAGAAAGACTTATGTCATTGGTTCTTTGAAAAAATACAAAACTTTTGTTTACAAGTCACAAGTACTCCTTTCCAGATTACGTACCTGTAAAAACATTGCTTTTATTTGCTTTCTGCTCTGGAGAAAGCAGCAATTATTTTTGATAGTTATTTTGAGTTCCTGCCTTGTTTTAGTCTCCAGAATAAACAGCATCAGAAGTATTACTAACCGCTGTAGTGCACTTTCATTTTTATTATTTTCAACTGTGTTTCTCAGGGTTTATTTGGCATTGCAGAGCAATCAGAAAAGAAAAGGTAGAATGCTATCACAGATGATGTTACACGGCAAATATTTCAACGACCTTGAGCTGAAATGCTTTCAGAGTTCATGCTTGGCTTTGTTTTTCTCCAGTTTTGCTTCCCCAATCTAATTATATCTCCAAAAGTGGTTGCCATGGCTGTTTGCCATGCTGGAAAGTGTTATACCATATGTTCATATTTCTTCCAGTGCTTTTGTCTGCACTTGAGGCTAGTCCAACTTGTAGTACACAGACAAATTCCTTTGATCATTTCTCTGGTGTTTGGGATCTCAGGTGCTGCTGGTACGTGTCTGCTGACACCTATCTACACTATGTAAATAATCTCAACTTGTTCTTGTTATGGCTGAACACGTACTTGTTACAGAGGGAAGCGTGTGTCTGCAATCTGGCATGAAAGTCATCTTGCAGAGGTTAGAGCATCAGTTATTGGACCTGTGGCTAGCTTTTAATCTTGTTAACAATAATTACTGTTTTCTTTGTGTGCTCTTCAAAGTGGATTCTGAAAGTTTGTTCTACAAAGTAATGCTGAAGCCTTGACATAACAGAAGAGGAGCTTTGTTTTTTTGAAATGGACTCTGCACTGAGTAGCTAAAGGGTTTTTCATCATTAACAAGGCATCGAAAAAGGGAGGAATATACAGCATTTAGATAACAAGCAGATACAAGTAAGACATATGTTGTATTTGATGAGGCTTCAAAAATTGCACAGTGTGGATGCAAATAACCAAATGAAAGTGCCTTTTATTTCTGGTTGGGTTTTGTTGTTGGTTGTTGTTGTTGTTTGGTTTTTTGGGGGAAGGGGCAGGCAGGAAGGTGTTATTTCTGATTTTTAACCACTAAATGATACAGAAAGACAGAGCTGATTCTCTTTGTGTGCATGATGCAGGTGGAACTACTTCAGTGATTGTATTTGGTTTAGTGGATCCCTTCAAATTTGCCATCATAGGTGAGACTGGAAAATAATGGGAACTTGTGTTTGAGGACAGGGACATCTCTGAGCCCTACCACTGTGGTCAGCTCTCATGACATCTACATGAGCTCTTCCAGAACCAGCACAAGGTCCCATTGCTCTGCTCAAAGCCCAGCAGCTGCCTTGGCCCAGATGACTCAGAAGGAGCTCATGATTGCCCGTAAAAAGTCATGTGGAAACTGAATCTTCTGCCAAATCTGGCCTGCCCTTTTTCTTCTAAGCTCATCTGTGGGTTCATGCGATTGCCCAGCCGTCACCTCCACTCTTGTCAGGGGAGAGGATGGCAACACATGATCACTTCTAGCACCGCCTGCTTTTACAGTCCTCCATCCTGCAGAATTTGAGCACGTCATCATTTTTAAATGATACTACAATAGAACTCAGAGCACTCCTCATCTTTCTGAACCACAACTCTCTGTTTGCTTTTGCAGCGTTGAGATCTTGAAGGCAGAATCTGCTGCCACTCTTCCCCTGGGACAGCCCTGGTGGTGCCTGCTTTGGCAAGGAACAAGTAGACACAAACTCATGCCTTAGTCAGTATCCCCTGTGGGCTCATAAACCCATATGGTCTGCACTGTGGGAGATGAATGAGCTGCTTCTAATTGAATTTCTCTGTGGTTTGTCATACAGCGATTCCCCTTCCCGCCTCCTCCCCCCATAAGAATTGAAACATGTTCAAATGGATTGAAAAATGGTTCAGAAGAAATACTTCTTTAACCAAAGAGCATTAAAATTAACTTTAATATTTATTAATTACTAATTTTATTTAATAAGCATGTTGAATATTACTGCATTTATAAACAAAGGGCAATCATAAAGCATTATTCTGACTGTTAATTAGCTCTATTTATTCTCCAGATTAGTTTTTAAATATGCCCTCTAGATGCCACTTGATACTAATTAACAGGGTTACATTATTATCTCTATACAAAAGCATTTTTAATTAAATCTAAAGCAATTTAAATTAGCACGAGTTTTTACAGAAATTAAAATCTGGTCAGATGCTTAATTTAGCCTTATGAGACAACATCTGATGGCATGCCAGTGTTGGTTCTCCCAAGGGCCATGACATCTTTTTCGGAGATTATTTCTTGAAGTTTGTTTTCAGGGAAACTTGCCAGTATACTCTGCTGTTTAATATTTATGATGGATTTATAAACCTTTTTTTTTCTTTTTTTTCTTTTTGGCTAAGCTTCGTAGGGAATCCACATGCATTGCAATGAGCTGAGCTAAAAACAGCAAAGATGCGTTCCTGCAGGCTGCCTTATTCACATCAACCACACTTTTTAACCATTCTTAAGATGATCTTTCTTCCTTGTGATAAGGGTAGGAGCAATCACAAAACCACAAGATCCCTTACCTCCAACAGATGAAGGCAAGGATTGCTCCCCGAATGATTCCCACACTGGGTGCTTGGTAAATGTGATTCTCACTAAATTTTTTCTTGTAAAATCATGCAATAATAACAGTTTGGTTATGTGGAAAACCCCAACTTGAGGAGGGTACTTTTTGTCCCCCAGTGTAAGGACTGCAGGAGCTCCTCCACAAATATGTGACCCACTTGCCCCACACACTGCAGCCCTCTCCAGTACCATGGCTGGCTACAAGGCGCCTTTGATCTTGGAACCATAGAGCTTGCCAACACTTTTCATGCCCTCCCTTCAAGTAACCAACCAGTAGCTGCACCTTTTATTCATAAGCACTGAGTTTTAGTACTCATGGAAGGATTTTTTTAAAAAGCATTTGCAGCACTTTTGCTTTAAATGGGAGAAAAACAGCACTTAATATGAGTGTGGTGAACTGATTTGTCTGTGCAAACTTGCCCAGCTGTCTCAAAAGCTTCACGTACACAAACATCTATAGAAAGCCTTGAATTAGCTTGAAGGGAGGAAAAGAGGAATCCTGCAGAACTGCTGTTGGAAGACCAGACTGGTTAGAGAACTCTGTTCACATTTCCTCAATATTACAATTTTTGTAGCTTTGTGGTATATTCTTTCCAGCTTATGTTTGCTGCAATATTTACAGCAGAGTAACTCTAATGAGTTCAAGAGTAGTTCATGAAAATCATGAAAAAAGTATTTCATGAAAATAATCTGCAAAGCCATTTGACTGGTTCCAGTAATTTTAGAGTGTGGTGTAAGCTAGAAATATAACAACTCACCACCCATTTTTGCTTCCTGTACCCTTCTTCCAAAGCGATTATTTATTGGGTCAGAACATGCACAGTGCCCTTTACAGCAGCCATTATGATTTCAAAATGGTATTTTGCTGATTTGTTTATGGCAGACTGAGTAACTGTTGTAGCCAAGTGTTGAAATCTGAACAGAGCCAAAGAGGAAATAGAGCTTTCTGGCCTCACCAGTGTGTCTGCTGCAACTCCGTGCCTGGAGATAGATGGCAAGCTTCAATCTTTGTGTCTAGATCTTCTACATTTTCCCGAAAAAAGGTATCCTTTCTATAGGTCTGTAGGTAGTTTCTTCAAGGGAGAAATGTTGCTACAATACTCATTTCTAGCAAATATTAGTATTTTTTACCG